CAAAATAACCATGACCATGACGTAGTTTGATCCTCGTGAGGTTCAACGGGAGAGATTCTTAATTATTTCACTCGATTTATGATCAATCGGCTCTTGTCCTTAAAATTTCATAGACAACCGACTAGTAATTCTTAGAAGATGAATATTGAATGCGATTTAAGCGAAACAAGACTGAAAAATTTCAGATTTCACAGGAAATTCCAAATTTCCAATTGGAAGCAGCATTAAGACAAGAATTCCTCAACTTAATGGAATTCGCTACGAAAAAATGAATATTTAGGGTTAAATAACGCTAAATTTCCAATTAATTGAAAATTCACGATTACGTTTACCGAAAATTTCCTGACTTCTATTAAGTTTCGGGGAATAATTAAACTTACATTAGCAGTTCTCATCGATTTTCCGATGAGATTCTGAATTTTCGATGACGAAATTCCTTGAAATTTTAGTGGAACTAAAACGTGATAAAAATACCCTGAAAGGTATCGGAAATTTAGAGCCAAAAATTTTTCAAGTGTACAAAAAAAATCAAGTCATGATGGGCTTACAAAAATTCTTAACTATAATATGAAATACACGAAGAGAAATATTCAATAAAAATTACACATCTTTTCCGTAATCTGGAGCGTGATGTGGTTGTAGGAAATTTTACGGAACTGCCACGTAATTTTTACCTAAAATCACGGAATTTTTCTAGAGCTCTTCATAATTTTTAACTGAATCTCCTGTGAAAAATTACGATATGGTTACTCAAATTTTCTGAGTCGATTCCGTAATTGGTGAGCAAACTGTGAGTTCCGTAATTTTTACTAAATATTTCTCTCCGTGTATCTGCGTGAGATATAAAATTTTCTCATTCCCATAAAAATTAGAATACTGCTCATAACGACGATTAGAGATTGTCTTGAATACAATTTTTTGTTTGTTATTCGAAAATTTATTTTCCTACTTATATGATCTGTTGAACGACGTTACATCGAAAAAAACTGAATTTATTTGTCTCATTGAAAAAGTAAAAAAAAGAGGGGTCTCGTTTTGCCCCGGTCTCCTCTATTGGGCTGTAGTCGAAGGGCATGAATTCTTCAATCGTTGCTGAAGGATTATTTACGTGGCCTCACCGCGACCCTCCTTGTATCATGCACTACCCAGTAGCACAGAAAGAGTCTTCTGAGGCGTCTTCACAAGGCCATAAACTACTCGTAAACACCGACTCCAAGGTATTTAGTGGGAACGTGAGAAATGATGCAAAAAGTAAAAAGGCCAGTGGGAGAGCACTGATGGCCTTAGTAGACGTTGATTACGTACACGCACAGAGAGAAATTTGGTATTCATAGTCCCTTCGTTCGACGTCTGTGATTGGACTGTCGGCCGTTGGTGGTGGTTCGTTCAGTGGTGATGCCAACAATGCCTATTTGTTTCGTTAGATTACGGAGGGAATCAGGGAGACGTCTCAATTATAATATCAAAGAATAGATGCCAAGTATTTGTACGTGACGATGGGGCGAGCATTTAATTAAAATCTTGGAAAATGTGGCACCAAAGGGACTGTCGATCCTCGTGACATAGAGTGAGATCCTAAATTCGAGGATCGCTTGAGCTTCGAGTTGCAGAGGTAGTGGTGGCATACCCGCTCACTTGAATGGGGTAAATCAGGACTCGGAGATTCCCCGAACAGGAAGCGTGGATTGGCGCGGGTTCACTTCGTGTCACGTAGGAGACACAGGAAAAAGCCAGAGTCCCCTATTCCTCCCCACTTACGCTTCACTTGCCCTTCGCTTCAGTACCTTGGGAATTCAATTACGCCATAGAACAATGCCATTCGCGAGTGGTAATGAAGAGAATCCTGAATCCCCACGATTTTATTCGTTGCTTATCGAATTTTCTATTCTATTCTTTTCATCTATTCTAATCAAGATTTCCTCTTCATTCCAACATTGAAAGTTGTTGGAGTATTTTTGTAGGCAAAATCGATAATGCAGAAGCAAAACGGAATGGAGACGAAATAGCCATCAGCACACGTGCACCTAAAAGCAACCAAAAAAATCTTCAAATAATACAATTCCTTTGACTGTCAAACTGAATGGTATAATTCCGTGGAAAAAACGAAGGGTACTCCATACAGGAGGACCGCACAGCTGACCATGCGTTCAGTGCTGAAAAGTATGAGTGACCAATGATATCCGTTCAAAAAGCGTAAACTCATTAAAGCTCTATTTGATCTTCATGGCATTTCTCTAGAGTTCCCAAGGGTAGGTTTCAACGAAAAACGCAGAAATTTACTTCAAGAAACGCCTACACCATGGAAATACGCATACTAATATCCTCTCTTTCTTCCGTTTTTTTCACAAAAACCAACATAATTAGTTGATTAACAAAGGTATCAAAAAACCGCCATCATCGAAACTCCATCTCTAGATTTTCCCTCGCATTTTTAATTTCACAATTTCCTCTCATCATTTTTTTCGGAAAAATATAAAATCATACGAAAACTAGTTTCAGTTTTATCGCAGTGCTCCGACGATGGCAAAAATGGCACCACATAAGTGGAAATCATATATAGAGTGGATGGGAGCCGTCCTTTCGCCCCATGTAATAACGTAGCACGTAGACGAAAAATATAACTCTGCGAAACGACACTTGAAATTATTCGAATTAATGCAAGTGTATTGTCCTTTCCCCTTCGTGTTGCCGTGACGGGGGGGGGGGCGTCGTTCCACCGTCGACCGAATTCTCATTTGCCGGCGAGGAACATAAAACCAAAGTGAGGGATGTAATCAACTTACTGGGAAAGTGTATTCAGGCTTCAACAAATAATCAATGAAAACTGAACTAATGTCTTTGGCGCGAAGCTTTTGGAATCACTGCCTAATATCAATCTAATCCTCCATGTTCTGACCCGCGCCGAGGAAGTTGGTTCTGTCTTTACTGATTTTTTTATTGAGACCTGAGTTGGCTTATTCCCATTAATTTCTGTATTTTTTCCAGTTTTTTCATGGAAGTCGTATTTTTTAAGAAAATTGTCTTCTTCATTTCCAGGAGCAATCAAAGAAAAATTTTCCTGGGCCCAGTATTTTTTACCAAAATAATTATTTTTATTTTTGTTTAATTATACTACATGAAACATCCAATGGATATAACGAAATTAATTGCATCTAGTACAACAAATAGTCTAGCAAAAACACTGAAAATCCTATTCGTACGATTGCGTAAACGCAATACAGTAGACTCTCGTTATAGTCGCATTCGTTATAGTCGCATTTCCCCTCATATCGATTTTTTCGAGCTCGAGCGCTTCCCCCACTCCGTACCACCTCCGAGGTGTGGATTTAAATGCCCCTGTGTTTTCTCGGAATGGGCTTTGTTTTGCATTTCTAAGAAATTCGGGAAATAAAATTTAGGAAAAATGAATTTGCGAGAGACAAATTCAGTTCACTCTTGACTGTCACGAAGAGAGGGTCTTTGCAGTGGTGCATAGCCTTGCTTTTTATTTGAATGAAGTGAATAAATTTTGGAGTGTATTGAACAAAGCGATGTTATTAATATTTTTATTAATTTTATTAATTTACTAAAAGTGTTCAACGCAATTCATTTTGTTAATTTAATAAAAGTGTTTAATGAAAATAATTTTTATATTTAATAAAAATGTTCAATGCAAATTGAAGAGAAAAATAATTGGAGTAAAATTTATTTTCTTATCGCTCCCAATTCCCGGAATTTAGGCTTACCGTGAGCGCCTGGTGGGGGAAGAGAAATACAGTCCCATTCTCAGAATCGGCTGCCCCTACAGCCTCGTGAGTGCGACTATAACGAGAGTCTACTGTAGTTGTCTCGGTTAAATGTGTTAAGTTCTCTGTGTGAATTTGGATAGTGTTTGAATGGATGGATCCTGCGATAGTTTCCCAATCTACCATTCATGCCACGTAAATTGCAAGCCTAACTTGTTTGGCGGTTTTAGCGGTATTTGATTAGTTGAGTGAATTTCCAAACTGCTTTAGAGACAGACGAACGAAAGCACACAGGGAAATAGATTGCGTTGCTTAACGACGAATTACGCCTTTGTGAATTCTTTATTCTTCCCGGCATATATGTTAACATATTCAGCTTCAAAGGTTCTTTGAACACTTCACTTCCTTTTTCAGTTGCTATACGAAAAATTCATGAAAACGTTTGCAGGTCATCCATGGATTACGTAACCTAAATTCTATGATAATGCAGAAGGTATTCTCTGTGTAGTGCGTAAAAACCGTGTCAGGGTGTCAAAGTCAATGTCTTGTTCAGTGATATCTTTATATTATAAAAATCCAAATCGACTTCTGGTGATAAAAATGTGGTACTCGAAATTAAGACTCCAAAATTAAGGGTCAAAATACGGGTCACGAAGGTCAGAATAAGGGTCACGAGGGGCAAAGTAAGGGTTATGAGGGTCAGAATATAGATAGCGAGGGTCAGATAAAAGGTCAGAATAAGGGTCACAAGGGTCAGATTACGGATCATAAGGATCAGATTAAGGGTCCTAATGAAGGAAACAAGGATCAGATTAAGGGTCCAAATAAGGGTCATGGTGCTCAAAAAACCAGGTCACCGAGGTCAAAATAAGGGTCAAGAGGGTTATTATGAGGGTCAGATTAAGGATCTGAATAAGGGTCACAAGGGTCAGAATATCTCTATATTATACAAATCCAAATCGACTTCTGTTGATGAAAATGTGGTACTCCAAACGAAGACTCCAAAATTAAGGGTCGAAACAAGAGTTACAAGGGTCCAAATAAGGGTCATGGGGTTCATATGGGGTTGCCAAACGGAGCGAGCATGGGCGTAGCCCCCTAGTTATAATTATATAAATATTAAATATAATTCTCCATAAGGAGTTCAGAAGGACAGTTGGAACAAATGAAAAAAAGTGAAAATCAACAAATAGTAAATTGGGATGACAGAAATTGATCGCGATCTTCTTATTACTCGACGGAAAAATATGATTCAATGGATAAATTGGGTCTTACCTTGCGAGTAGTTCATGTCCTTCGCTCATTCACCTCGTCAACAGACTCCTTTCCGGAGTTCTCTGATCCACAATTTACGTCAGCATCTGAAATAATAATAAAAATTCCCACTCATTAAACGCTCCGCAACAGCGAATAGAATCAAAAATATTGTAATTGGGTGAGGAAAAATGCATATTTTTTATCACTCCAGAGGAATAGAAACTGGCCCATTTGGAAATTCGTGGTTAACGACCGAAACGATTTCACGGACGATAGCAAAAGCGTATAAAATAAAGAGAAGAAGGCTCTATCTAGATATTCCTGGTTGCGGGAGGGAGAGGAGCAGTGGTTCAGCGATGTTCGCGTCGGGTAAATTAGTTCCGGAAACTATTTCGAAGCCGCATTAACGTCCGGCTTATAATCTACTGCCATTCGTATAGCGCTTCCCAACTCTCAACGTGAGCGCGTGAAATCCTGATGCGGGTGGCGGGGAGGGAGGCGAGTTGGTCTGTTCCTTAATGACGAACGGAATGTCGTCTAATTAAATCGAATTATCGATTTGGAGGCCTTGGTGCACTGCATATAGTGTCGATATCGCGACCACCTGCCATCCAAGGCGTTTAACCTCGAAACTTCCGACATTAAAGAGAGAAGGCATGTCGAGATCTCAGTGCAAACGATTGTGGTCAAAGCATTTGCGAATTAATTAAGGAGCTATCAGATTATTGCTTCGAGGAATTGATTAATTTAAAAGTTGTTGCGCATTGAGATAAAAATATTTAACATCCACTGTACAGTGCTGACGATGATAAACATCATCAATATGCGCTGGTATCTTAATGATAGAGGAAAAGTACTGTTTGAACTATTAGGGGTAAACATGATAATTATAGTGAATTAAATTTTTACCCTTTCGCGACTATAGAAATTTCAAATATTTGGTAATACTATAGAAGAGTGATTTCGAATGAAATTCAGTATGCGAATCCTATTGTGTGAGATTCTATGAGTTAAAAACGGAAAAAATATTGTAAAATGTTGGAAAAAAATGGGGTGTCAGAAATTCGAGGGGTCGAAGGAGATACCAAAATTAAATGGTCATACCTTAATATATTATGACGTTTTCATAATATTGGGGTTTTTTGAACTTCATACCAACTGCGTTACCGTTGCGAACCCTAGGTGGTGCTAAGTACTGGTGAAGCTTGATATTGTAGAATACGAGTCGGTTGACTAATAAATAAATGTTTATTGAAGAAATGGGAGCAAATAGAATAATAAATAAAAGATACAAAAGAAGTGACACGTATGCGGACTAGGACTGAAGATAAAAGAATATGGAATCAGAAAGAGACGATCGTACGTGACGGCGGTTGAGAGGGACAAAGATAACAAATCTGCAACACTATTAATGCCTTACCATGGGCTGTTGAACTTCATTTTGAATACCCGTATAGTGTACCCTTACTTGACCACTTCCCGAAAAATTTATAAAATTTCAGTGGGTTGCTGTTCATCAACTCAACGTATTGGATATCAACGTTTACATATTGGATATACGGGTGTCCCCACGAGTCCTTCCCTTCGGAAACTATGATAATTCTTTAAAATTATATAATTAAGATATTCATGATCAAGTTTGACAGCGTATGGCAGGGCATTAATATCAAGCCTCACCAGCACTCAGCAATACCCACGGTTCGTGACGGGGACGGAGCTAGTATGAACCTCAAAAAACTCCAATATTATGGAATCGTCATAATATATTAGGTGTATAAATTAATTCTCGGCCCCTAGATTAAATTGATCAGAACACCTATTTGAATTAAAAGAATTCCCCGCAATAAACGGCGTTTTGAAGCGCCATCTGTGAACAATCAAACCACTCAAGTCCGATTGTGGTATGATTAACACAACCTCAAAAAACATGGTGAATAAAAATGTCGTTCGACAAGCAGCACTTGAGGCACTGCCTTCTTTTCACCTTCCAACAAACGTACACTCACACCCAAAACAAACTTACTTTTGGTCAGTAGAAAAAGTATTTCTATTCAGTACCAAGAGGTTTCTGGGGAAAAGGCACATTTTTGTACTTCCTCGAAGTCACAAAAGAACTGGATGCAAGTACCATGCGTCAAGTACCTGGGTACTGGTGAGAAGTAGTTTTTTTTTGGGTGCACATAAAGACAAACTCATTGCTAACTGCAGAGCCTGTCTCTACTTTCGAAATACAATTTTTCCTTGCCGTAAAACAATCAGGAAAAAGCTTTATCCAAGGTAGAAAAAGTTTCAGTATCGGAATAAAAATCTACTCGTAACTGTAAAAAATTTTGTTCAAATCAAATCTTACAGAAAATATTCTTTCGAATTTATTAAAAAATGCACAATAAAAATTTCATAGATATTAGAATATAACTGTGACGCAAAAGAAACGAAATGACCACAAAAATCATCAAAAAATTCAAGAAACCTACCACATGCCGGTTCCAGATTTTGTTTTATTTCAAATTGTATTTTTTTTTAATTGACGTAAAGAAGAGGGAAACACGTCTTCTCCCAATTTTTCGCCACAGTATTAGTTAAAATATCCACAGTATTCTGGATATGGCGTGCTTGCTATTGTTTTTGTAGGGGATAAGATTATTACAAATATTAGATTATTACAAATATTCTTATATTGAAACAAAAAAAACAATCTGGAACCGGCACATGGCGCGTTTTTCAAAATTTTTGATAATTTTTGTGATTATGTAAACCGTTCAGATATACCATCAAATTCGTAAGATCGAACAAATTGATAATGAGCTTAGAATTGTGAATATTCGGGCAAAATCCGAGAGTGATTCTAAAAAAATAATGTCATAATTCAAAGGATCTAATGAGCAATATCGAATTCTTTATTTATTGAATTTTTCAATTTTGAGGAGTAGATTTACGCATTTCATTCAGCGATTTCACTTCGGCGTTCGTTTTCGTAATTTGATAGCGACTTGTTCTAGGTTAGGTTGCAGTTCCAATGATACCAGCAGCGGGGTGAGTGATACAGGCAGTGAAATGAGCAATATTGGAATCGTGTCGAGCGTTATTACCCGACGGCTCGATCGGGTCTCATTATCGTTTTGTATTAATTTTGTAAATTCGGACAAAAGTTAGATCTTTACACTTCAGAAATAACACGTTGGATACTGAAAGAAGATATTAAAACAATTGTTTTCATTTCATGTTGAGGTTTAAGATGAAAAAATGGCGTTCTGCCTTAGGTGAGCGGTACAGGCACACCCTCCCCTACACGGAGAGAAATTTTTAATAGAAATTATCCTACCGTTCTATAAAAGTGTATCATGAGTCATCGTTTCCTCATCTCCATCCCAAAATTTAGTAAAAATTAATATATGATGATCAAATTTTATTCTACGTTAGAGAAATTTTATCTTGACGCATAATAAATTTTATCCTTCCAGTCCAATAATTTTTACGTAGATAACAACGAAAATTCTAGAACGGTTGGTAAATTTTACCCTACCGGTACAGTAATTTTTACTATACTGGCACAGTAATTTTCTCTAACGTAGAATAAACTTTGATCATCATATATTAATTTTTACTAAATTTCGGGATAAAAATGAAGAAACGATGACTCATGATACACTTTTATAGAACGGTAGGATAATTTTTATCAAAAATTTCTCTCCCTGTACCCGATAAAAAATCCCAAGTGAAAGGAGTAAGAACAAATCCACTTCGTTTTTCGGTGTGGATGCACGGAGTATATGAATTTTGGTATTAAGAATATCCATATACTTAGGCTATTTTTTCTCCTGTGAAATACTTTCCTACTTTTGTAGTCGAACATCAGAGCTTCCATTTTGCAGGTCTGAATTTAAATCTCGATATTGAACCGTTAGAAAACATTTTAAAAATCTGTAAGAAAAATGAAAAAGTTTATTTTTGGAGAAAGATTAATAGAATAATTACAAATTTTCAATTTTTGAAGATTACGACCATTTTCTATAAATAATTCATAAACAATCCATTTTCCATCATCAAAATCATTTTTTCGGGATTGTAACAGATTTATTTATAGTCAGAATCTTACCAAAAATCGATTTCAGGCTTAAAAAAATTACGTTTTCGAAAATTTAAACCATTTCAATTACTTATTTATAAACAGAGAATGTTAAAAAAAATAAAGATTCGATGCAAAATATTATTTGAATGACCCTGAGTATTCATGATTTTTTTTCATTTTTGTTCACGTAATTTAATTGACAAATTTGATGATTGAAAGTGGCTGAAAATAGTTGCTCTTTACCAAACTGTAATAGATACTTGGATATCCTTAAGTAATTTTGAGACATTACTTTTTCAAAAATGTTTCTTCCTCAATACTCCGAAATCTGTATGGCTTAATGAAATTTTTAGACGTCAAAATTGATAGTCATAATATTTACCAAAGCAAGTTACAGTATGTCGATGTAACTAATGCCAGCTTGTTTTCATCGGTCGAGAGGTAATCTTTGCCATTAATTCTCAAAGCCTTTTAAACCTTTTTGTTTGAATTACAACCCATAAAAACTTAAAGTTTCCGAAATAAAATTGTTACCATGAAGTTAGAACATGTGGTGAATTAGTATCGGTACTAAATCTCCAAAGTACAATTGCACGATATACGACACCGAATTATTGGCTAACTGAGCCAATACACCACAAACTGCCCGTCCATCTGGCAAGCTAATTAGTGACTTACGGATACGAACCGGACCAGCTTCTCTAATAACTGTCGGTATTTGTTAGATTTTATTCGACCGACGTTATTATGACCCCCAATCTTCTCCCATCGCCTTACCCCTTAGAACCCAGAAGGATAATTGGGTTGTCTGATTTATGCTGTTGACCTGGAAAACCACATGTCGTCCGCCGAATTCTGCGCTTCGTTTTCTCCTGAAATATATTTTTCCCCATTTGATGATCCGGATATCGGCATCAATTCGATAATTCAAATACCAACGAAATTGAATTATCAAGAAGAAATATAAACTCCCTTCTTCTGCAATGAAATA